TAGGTTGAATTTTGTTATTATAATTATATTAAGTAATTAATTAATTAACACGGAGTAATTATTAATATCAGATTATTGCTACCTTCATCCTTCTTAAAGTTTTTCATTATAAAAAACCATGATTATTTAAACAATAATTAAATTAGATCATTTGATCATACTTTCAAAATTAATTTTGATAGATATATACTATATATACTATAATGGGATGATTGAATGAAATGGATGGATATTGCTTTATTATGTTATATGATAATTACATTATAATGATAAACTATCCGAATTTATAAATTAGAAATGTTATTATTGCTATTAATTTCTATAATTATTGACGCTGATTACAATTATGTGGTATATAATAATTTGAAAATACATAGAGGTTGTTTCGGACAATGATTTTCAAATTAAATTAATGTATTTGAATTTGGCTAAATTTACAAGTCTAAGTTTATGACTACTAGAATTTAAAATTAAATATATTTATTATGAGGGTAAACTAGATATTTAAACTAATTTATTGAAATCAGTCATGACCTCTTATGAGATGAAATAAATAAGAATCAAGGTCAATTTTTGCCATACCTTGGTATCTTAATATAAAAGTTAGTGTTTACTCATGGTCAATTGTATGTTGCAGTATCCAAAATAACAAATCGTAAGGGTTTGAAATATTGATTTACGGTGAAGATGGAGAACACACTTATCATACTATCAATGTTGTTTACAAGGAAGTGTTTCGAACTGTGTAGAATGTAGGAATCTTATTGTAACATTTGTTTATTTCTTTTATTCCAAAACATACTCACTACCAATGCATGAGTCATAAATATCGTTTCCTAAATAAAAATTTATTATATGTATTACGCCTTTACTATTTTCATGCTTTTATTATACGTGAATTAATAATTTAATCTTTACTGACAAATAAGGACATGCATCTATTACTTTATTTTTGTCCCGTGCATCGCACGGGTGAGAATCTAGTCAAGTATCAACCCCAAAATCCCTCATTCTGGGGTTGACGGAGGAACCTTCTTAAAAGAGCACGAGTGGATTATATAATTTCAAAGACACATGTGCATCAGTGCATGGTATAGTAAAATAAATACAAAAAGATTTTGAATAGTCAATGATGCGTTTATGAAATGTATACATGCATTTGTATAATGTTTAGGTGGATAGAAAATTGGAAACATATTAGAATGTCTAGGTGTTTCATGAATAAAAGTGAAGTTATTTCAAATTATTAGGAACTAATTGGAAACTAACGTTCAAGTTATTTCAAATTATTTACCATTAATAAAAATTCTTTTAGTAAAAAAAGAAAATATATCAATGTACACGACCCTTACAAATAAAAGTTCAACTAATGTCAATAAGTTAACCCCCTACACTACATATGCATGATAAACTCTCCGTTAGGTTTACTAGTATTGTATTTTTACTGTGCTCAATATAGAATCAAAACATAATAAATTGCTCAATATAGAATCAAAACATACACAAAGTGTAAAATCAGGACTGAATATGTTTTATTTTCCAAATAAGACCTTTTTAGTCCTATTAAAATAATAAATTGATAAAAACTTTCTAAAATAGAAGTGAATGAGTCATATTTTGAGAATAAAATAATGACACTCTTATTTATGAACTTTATCATTATTTTAGTTCTATTTAGAGAATTTTTCTATTTTTATTTGAACCAATTATGTATGTCAATATTGACGCAATGAATAGTATATAACTATATACTACTCATCACTTCAATGTGTCTTTTAGTGAAGATGTTAGCGTGTTCATTATAAATTTTTGGTATAATAGTAGAGTTTTCTTTGGCGATGGGCCTATGTTAGATTCTTATGACCTAAAGCTGGTTATCGGACATAATAATATTATGGTGTTGTAATGCTCAATTGTTCAGTTCTTGTGTTATGTCAGTCCATATCCAATGATTTGGGTAGAATGGCAGACATAAGCTATATTACCTCCGTCCCACTAAGATTGGGACAAGAGAAGGTGATACGATTACTAATAAAAGTGGGTTTGTGTGGTTAATATTAAATTGATAAAGTAAGAATGATTTAGAGCCACACAAAATTTACCAAATTTGGTACGGGACAATCTTAGTGGGACTTCCTATTTTATACGTCTTCTTTTGATTTGACGCATTTATTAATAAAATGAAATACCTAAAAAACTAAGCAAATACGATGTAATTACAAGCTTGCAATAAAAACCATGAAATAAGAATGTTATAATCAATCTGCAGAAAAAGTATCATATTCCTATTTGTCTTGAATCCTTGATGTTACTAAGTAACTACCTATATTTCTTTCTAAAAAGGAAAATAAGATATCATTTTGAGACAATAAAATAAAGAAATAATGTCAAAAATAGGACTTGAGAGTTTTGACTTGACAAAACTACAAAAGTAAGAACGATAAAAAAAACTACAAAAGTAAGACCACTTGTACGGAGGACAAAAAAGAGACCAAACGTATGGACCAAAGGTAAATTATACCGTACAACCGGCTATACAGTGCTCATCGTACAGTCAGGTATTTTTGAAATTAAGTTTAACTTCAAGCTGGATTATATTATTGGATCTGTCGGCCTCCACTCCTCCCTGCCAGATTCTCTGGCGACCACCTCTTCTCTCCAACCAATTTCCCGTCGTGTTCAGTCCTTCACATCCATCGTCCCCTCCAATTCTCCTTGGTCCTTCGTTTTCAGCTTTCCCATAGGCGGTTGACAGTATCCGAAACAACGGTAGGATAGCTGGAAACTTGGAGCAGCGTCGAGCACTTCTGAATGTCGAAGAAGCTGCAATCCCAAAGCTGCAGTTGTGGGACCTTAAAATTTATGAGGGTTATTTATCTTCCATGATTACTAAAATTGTATTTTAGCATCTCAGCCTTCAAAAAAAAAATTGTATAGTCGATTGAATTAGAATTGAAAATCACTAAGGTTATGTCTAATAGGTCCAGATCTTATTCCTTTTCGTTTAAAAAGAAATGAGCATATATAGATGAATATTTGAGTACATTAAAAATTTTAAATGAGCTTTTTTGAATTTTTTATATTCATTTTGAAAATTATATATGCTCATTTGATTTTTCTGATACTCATTTTATAAATTATGTATGCTCATTTGGTACTGAAGTTATGTTCACTTTAAAATGTCGTGTCAATGCATATTTCAAAAGTACCATATTACATTAGATTCATGTAAGAGTTGATTATAGATATTGTATCACGGACCATGATATTTAATTGGATGTTTCTAATACTCAATATAGAAACTTTGATGCTGAACAAAATTCTCTTGATGCCCAACAAAAAACTTATGAGTTTCATATCAATGCTCATTTAGTAAGTTACATATGCTCATTTAGTATTCATGTTATGTTCATTTTTTAAAATGACATGTCAATTCATATTTCAAAACTACCATATTACATTAGATTCACATATTGAAGTTCATAGGAGTTGGTTATAGATATTACCTCCGTCCCGGTAGACTTTGCCAAGTGCAAATTAGGTGACAAATAAGAATAGTAAAAACTATGTGGTTGAAATTTGTGCAGAGGAGAGAGAAATGTGCAGAACCACAAATTAGTTGCTTTAATAGGAAAGTGACAAAGCTTTTTGGGACAAGTAAAAAAGGAAAATTGGCAAAGTCCAATGGGACGGAGGGAGTATAATTTAATAAGTTTTTACAAAAAGAAGAAAAAAAAAGAAAAAGAAAGTGAATTAGAAGATATGAACCAGAAATCATGATGCTTATTGTTAGGCTCCTAATACTCAGAAGAATACGTCTGATGCTCATTAAAAATGCACTAATGTTCATCTAACAAAAACCGCGACTTTCACTAAATTTACGAAAATGCCACCGTTTTTTAGTTGTGATATCAGCTTTTTTGTAATAACACGGTGCTCATTATTAGACGCCTAATACTCATTAAAATTGGACTATTGCTCATTAACAATACACTAATGCTCATTTAGCAGAAATCACGATTTTCCCATTAATTACAAAAACGCCACCGAATTATTTTACTATTTTTCCCTTGGGCCGGTTAGTGGGCCGGCTATACGGTGCTCACCGTCCAGCCGTTTGTACCATATACGACTCATGGACCAAATCCGCTCTTCTTTGTCTCCAAAAACTGTCCATCACCTTCATTTTCGCACATCTACTGTGTTGCAATTGTGAGCAACGAAGACAAGCTACAAGGAGGGCGGACAGCAGCGGTAGAGCGCGGCGATGGAGATGACAAGCGGCTGCCCTAGGTTCGCCGTTCTTGTCTAACTTCGCCGCCCTGGGTTCGAAACTTATCTCTTGTTCTTCAATTTCTTTTCGAGCGCTGTCGGCTGTGCTTTCGGATCAACTTGGAGTGGCAATGATGCTAGATCTGGGCAGCTATGGTTGCGAAGTGGTGGTCCGGCGGTTGGGGAAGATGGGCTGAAATGGTTGTCTGCCGGAAGGGGGCTGAGGAGGGCACATGTGTAGGGAGGCTGCAGTCAATGGGATTGATGGTTGTTGGGGAGGGGGCTGGTGCAGGGGAGGGGGCTACTGGTACTGTGGCTGGGGGCAGGGGAGGGGAGGAGGATGAGGAGGGCGTAGGTGCGGGGCAGGGGCAGTTGTCATCGGGCTGGGCAGTGGTCAGGGATGGTGGCGGTTGGGGCAGTGGTGATTGGGTCGGTGGTGGCCGCGTTGGTCAATTGGTCATGGTCACACTGTGATTTGTCATGTTGGGATTGGTCACGGTCAGATCACGGTCGGACTGGTCACGGTCGGACTAGTCACGATTGGATTAGTCACAATCGGATTGATCACAATCGGGTTGGTCATTGATCAAATTGGTCACAATGGGATTTGTCATTTGTCACTGGTAGAAGTTTAGTCTCATTTTTGCCTTTTTGGAACATTTTGAAAGTGGTCCTATTTTTGTCAATCACATTTGTTTTAGTATTATTTTTGTAAAAACCCCTAAAATAAAACAAGACATATAAATGGAAGTACAAAACTATGGGTATTACCGTATTAGTAATTTTTATTGTAGCACTACTTTTTGCTGTATCGACTAAGTTTTGTTACCTTTTTTAAAACCGACATCATCCGCCATGGTTTTTTCTTCCGAAAGAACCCTCATGGCTTGAAAAAGTTTAAATAGACATTCTGGAGAATGACAATATAGCTACACTAATGATTGAAATGTTAGACTTCGAACTTTACAATATAACATCTCCTACACCATACAATACTGTATGGGCTCATTGACACCATGCATACTCACGGGCTGTGCCCAATGCTACACATCCGGGGTTATCACCAGGGTCTTCTTCTAAATGCTCCAGTTCTAAGCTCCCCTTGACTAGCCCTACAAAGAAGCATCTTAAAAAATCAATTTATACAAACAATCATAAGTGATTCTCAATGTTATTCACATACAACCAAAAATTAGAATTCTGGTTCAGATTATAAAAAATCGGAGTCAATGCAAACACCCTCTAAATGTTGGATTCTACTTTGTACCAAATGGTGAAACAAAATATACAAAACATAGACCCCCCTTGAGCATGTAGAATTGTGTGATGAAATGGACTGATGAAATACTCTCAAGCTCTATATAGTTGACATGTGCTTTGGCAACAAAATGAAAATATAATAATCCATTAAGGTTTTGATTGGAAATTCGAGTTCGTGAAAGAATGTCCCTTCAGGTTAAGACTGGTAGATCAATCTGCATTGCTTACATGGAGAAGAGAAAAAGAAAAAAGAAAAAAAAATAGTATTTATTATTTACCATACAAAAACATTGGACTCTTCCAAATTTTCTGAATCATTTTCAAGTAAAAATGATGAAAGAAAGATTCTCACATGAATCACATATCATACGGTATAGAATCAGTTTAGGATATATTACCTGGTCCTGTGATTACTACAGTTAATGAATTCTTTCAGCCCGGTAGATTTGAAGTCCCTATGCAAGTGACATGACCAATATCAGTAATAAATTCTTTCAGTAAGGTAATAATATGAATGGCACGTTAAATATTCACATTCCAAAGGTTTGATTTTTCAACTACTTTGTGTAACAATGTCGTACCCTCATCTCCATCAAATGATGTGGATGAAGGGATAATGTACTTTTTCAGCCACATTCATACTTTCAAGGCATTTGCATACTCAAGTCAGAATTATATAATATGTTGTATATTATGAAAAAAAATATCACCTCGAAGAGTTTTCTCCAACTCCTTCAGCTGTGCAATAAAACCAGAGTTAGGCGATGCTTCTTTCCTTCCCTTTCTCACATGTTCCAAAGCTAGAGCTAAGTTCATACCATGCTTTTTCATCAGATAAGCCAATACTATAGTTACACTGTCAAAAACAATTGTATTATCTCAGTTACATAACTTGATAAAGAAATTTTTACTAAAATTTAAAGTTCAATTCTAAAAGGTCAAACTAATAGGGAAGTAGTCCAGAACGTTATTTGACCGTTCGTATCATTATATTGTATAATTATATTTGGTTAGTATGGGAACCAAACTTTGAAATCCTAAAAATTTAACCATATAAAATGACCAGACTAAGATTTTAGACGTGAGATTGTATCTTGAAAGCTTGTAAGCCTAGAAACAGATTTCGAAGAAGAGACTAAATTGAAGAAAAGAATCGTGAAGCTTGTAGGGCTAGACTTACCTACATGATCTAAGGCTTGAAATATAAGATGTATAAGTCTGAGAAAGATTACCTTCGGGACCTTCCCAGAAAGCAATGAACCAAGACACCGCCACTCCTCTTCCCTTCTTCAATGAATTCAAAACACTCCTCAAAACATTGTGCTATGTCAACATCTCCTTTATCTGATACTGTTATACATTTTAAATTTATGTTAACAAATTAAAAGAGCAAGTTGAATAATAAACTGATACTTGAAATGGTATGTCTTTTAACTTGCATCTTCATAATTTTAGACTACTCCAATGCTTATACAGAGGAATAATGAATCTCAACCCTTGTAGGAATAGGAAATCTAAACTTAAACTTATACGGAAAAGAGAAACTACAATAGTACTAAAATTAGATTACTATTTCTATACTTTAAGAGAGTTTATCTAATGTAATTTTTTCTCAGTCTTAATGACCATAGTTTTCCAGACAAGAGAATGGGAATTGCTGGTTTAGAAAAAGAAACGGATTAAAGAGAAAATGTCATACCGCTAATGGTCTTATACGCAAAATCATTTGGATATAGAGAGGATAGTGAATTTGAAACCGTCAATATATGTGTGATATTCAAGCTTTTCAGTTCGCTCCTGTTTCCAGCAGCTCCAAAAGATCCCAAGTAGAGACCCTGGGATTAAGAGATAAAAATAATAAGTTTATTTAAAACCCGTTTGGTAACACTGTTTTTCGACTTATCAGGTTTATGAGCCAACTTTTTCACCCAACACATAACTTTTGATTTTGCGCGCTGAATTGAAAGTAATAAGAAAAAGTAAGGTTCAAGTTACTTTTCTGGTTGTATCGGCTGAAGTTACTACTCCGTAGAAAAGACCATTTCAGCTATTTTTTACATATAATTTCATCTTTATATTATTAATAAAATATATTTCAAATAAAAGTATAATTTTTACATAAATAAGCAGAATAAGCCAATTCAGTCATTTTAGCCGGAATTTTACAAATTTCGGCAGAATAAACGATTTAGCCGATTTTAGTACTACCAAACAGGCTCTTATCTTAGATTATTAGTATATACGAAGTATATGGTCTTATAGAAAGAACAAGATTCTCAGCTTGCACTTTACAATCCCGTAATTATAATGAGCTTTTCGTAGATTTATAATTACCTCTTCGATTTTGCAGGGAGTGCTGTCATTTCTTAAGGTCGATATTCTTTGCATTACTGGTAATAGAACTTTATACCTTTCCATAGGTAGAAAATGGAATCAAAGTTTGATCACCCTTCAATCCAAAAACAAACTGATAATTACAACGATCTGAAATTGGATACAACATAAATTTTAACACGGAGTATTCATTAATTCTATGAATGAAGTAGAAATGCGAGTTTGTTTATTTGTATACCTAAGTATCTTCACCCACGGTTCCATATCAAAGATTTGCTTCCAGGAGGTTGGAATTGTATTAAGTTGGAATTTCCATCAATTAATTCCTTTGCAATAAGTTGAAATTTCCATGTTCAACCACCATTGTAGAGTGTTCTTAACTGCAAATCTAATGCCGATGGTGTTGAAGGAGGAAAAAGAACAACCAGAACGAATAACTATCCATAGCTGAAACCCCGTTTTAGATATCAAATGGGCTTACTGGGGATGGGGGAGCGGGCTGGACCAATATATCTCTATTTAGTCTCACTAAGATGAATTCAATTAAGGAATTTCTATTCACAGCCTTTAAATTACTAATTGCAGCCCCTAAATAATACAAATATCCTAAATACCCTTACTTAACTTAACGATCGTTAAGTGAGATAAACTAAACGCAGAAAAGTGAGATAAACTAAACGCAGAAAATTCAAAAGGCTGCTACACGAAGGCTTCAAAACCCTGGAAACGCGGACAGCAACATGCGCAGAACATGTTAGGATAAAGCCTTCTATGCTGCACTGGATTACAACTAAGTTGTTTTGACAATTATTTTGATGACTTGTAATCAATAGGATGATGCCACCTCATCATCCTATCAACAGCTGTAAATAGTTGGTTTGTTAGTAACCGAACGCATATAAACAAACTATTGTAAATCAATTGGCAGTTCTGATCAATAATAAATCTCTTTCTCTCGAACCTCTTCTTCTTCCTCTCGCTTAAAATTCTTTCTTCAGCTAATTCTTGTTATGATTGTGTGATTCTCTCAACCTATCATAACAATTGGTATCAGAGCTCAGATAAAACACTTCCTCTGCAATGGCGAAAATGAGTAATACAGATCGTATTACTCAATTGGAAGCAGACTTGGCAAGTATTAGGCAAGAAATGGAGAAATACAATGAAGTTCAGAGGATGGACTTCAATAAGCTCGCGGAATTGAATGAGAAACGATTCGAAGAGGTTATTGCAGCTGTCAAGGGAATCAATGGTCATATTCATCAAGAACATACTCCTCGCAGATCAGACTCAAGACTGATCTCCACACTAGGGCATCAACGAGGTCTAAAATTGGAGTTTCCCCAATTCAATGGTGAAAACGCAAGAGGATGGATTCGAAAATGCGAAAGGTATTTCCTAATCAATAAAATGTCAGATTATGAGAAAATTATATTGATTGGAATGTATGTTTCTGGGAATATGGAGAACTGATATATGGATAGAGTTGTTGGGAAAGAATCCATGGGCTGGGATGCATTTGTACTACTGTTCTTGGATCGGTTTTCAAAAGATAATGATATTATTGGCGAATTCAACAAATTAAGACAGAAGGGTTCAGTTGATGAATATGTGGATAGATTTTCTGAGCTGAAATCTTTTATGCTACAAAGAAATAAGTTTCTGGATGATTTCTATTTCTTGAAGAGTTTCTTGAGTGGACTGAAGGAAGAAATAAGGCATATGGTTGAAATGATAGATCCTGAAACCTTAGACCAAGCCTTAAAACATAGAGTCAGATTTGAAAATGAGACCAAAATGATAAATCTTAATGAGAAATCATTACCTATTAGAAGATTGAATAAAGAAGAATTGGATGCTAGAAGAAGGAAAGGTTTGTGTTTTAATTGTGATGAATTATACACAGCAGGGCATAAATGCAAAAAGATATTTGCTATCTTAGTGACAGAACATGAAGATCATCTAAGCACTCCATTAGATGATGATGATGATGATTATACAGTACGTTATTACATTTTTCCGGTTCTATCGGTTCTGGAACGGTTCAGGACGGTTCTTCGGTACGGAACGGAAATTCCCAGATCCGCGCTCAGCTCTAATCACGGCTTGTCAAAGATTTAAGCAGACTCACATTCCATAGAGTGGCATAAATACTTGGAAATAAAATGAAAGCAGTGAAAGACAGCAGATTATAGCCCTATATAAAACAACCTCTTGTAAAGAGAGGAAAACATATTTGAGTCGCAATTCAAACATTAAATTGCTTCAAAGTAGGAAAGACTTGAATTGCCAGATAGTGGAGTACACATAACATGAGAGTATGCGACCAGAGCCTGGTCCGAGTTAACACAGAGCATGACCATCTGTAGAAATTTCGTATAGTTCTAGGCATTTCGAGAATCCAAATATACAATCGGAGTTGAAATTGAACTCCTAGATCACAACCATCCAAAGAAATCTAAAAGTCGTAAAAATTCTAAAGCTAGATCTACAAGCTTTTATGAACATAAACGGAAGGCTTACAGGAAAATGATAAATGAAAGCTTCTTTCTTTTTCTTGTGGCTCCCGCTTGAAAGCCTGCAAAGATGCTTCCTTTAAACTTCAAACAATGAATGAAACGGGGTCTTCCATGTGTTTCCAATAAAGGTATAATCCTGGCTCAGGGATGAGAGATGATGACGAAGAACAGCTCGTCGTGTTCATTGCTTTGTCCATTTCGACCAGCAAATTATATGGTGCAACGGGCCCACCATAACAGCCCCACCATAAGACGGTGCCTGTTTGCAAAAAGACGGAGTATTGTGCCTGGTTTCTTTATTTTTTATTGCTTTTGTTGTTAAAAAATGGTAATAACTTTTTATTTTTGATCCGATTTTTATAAAATTTATATCAATATTTTTTATTTTTCATGATCTTTCAAATGAGACCAATATTGCTTATGTAATTTTAAGAAATTATCGAACTATTATATTAATGAGTATTGGATTATAAGGAAAATCAAACTAAATTTAATACAGAAAAATAATTGTGTAATCCACAATTTATCTTAAAATTGTGTATATAAACAATTTATTGTATTATGTATTTATACATGTGAGTTACATATTTTTACACGTAAAGTTACATATTTCTACACGCGAGTTACATATATATACACACGAGTTGCATTTGACCTGCCTGAACGCGAGTTACATATATTTACACGTAAAGTTACATATTTTTACACGTAAAGTTACATATTTATACACGCGAGTTACATATTTATACACACGAGTTGCATTTGACCTGTCTCAACGCGAGTTACATATTTTTTACGTAAAGTTACATATTTTTACACGTAGAGTTACATATTTATACACACGAGTTGCATTTGGCCTGACTGAACGTGAGTTACATATTGAGAGAAATCCCTAAATAGGAGTAAAAATGTTTTGAAATTCCAAAATAGGAGTATCATGTTTTTATTCCCTAAATAGGAGTAAATTTCTGCCAAGTTTGGAAATTACAAGGCTTTAAACATGGCATTTTTTTCCAAATTTGGCAGATTACTCCTATTCAGGGAATAAAAAACATGATACTCCTATTTTGGAATTTCAAAACGTTTTTACTCCTATTTAGGGTAATTTCTGTTACATATTTTAACACGTAAAGTTACATATTTTTACACGTAAATGTTAATATGTTAAAATTACATAGGCAATATTGGTCTCATTTGAAAGATCGTGAAAAATAAAAAAATTTGATATAAATTTTATAAAAATCGGATCAAAAACAAAAAAAATTATTAACATTTTTAAAAAAAGGAGAAATAAAAAATAACAAAGCCAAAGTATACGAACTGATTTGGACCAGCTTGCGGGAGAATTGGAAAGGGCTCGGTTCTTTGGTTCCTTTTTGGAAACTTCAGACATTAACGAAATTACGAGCTGGAATGGGAAATGACCAACGTTAAATTAATCTAATGAGCGACGCTAAGGTTTTAAGGGCATAATTGGGATTAAGAAAACGTGGGTGTGTGTTTAGTCAAAACCGGGATGCAATTATGTTCACACCCACTTTTAAAAGTGAAAATAAATAATTCAAAGGCAAATTGTATGGTACCCAATACCCATAGTCCCATACTATTTGATCAATTAGAAAATATTAATGAATAATTTAAATATGTATAAGTGATGAAATAATAATTTGGATCAATCAAACGTGTGATAAATATGATATCTTTATTCTTTTTACGGGCATCGTAGCATTCAAGCGATTTAAAATAGAAATTTTTAAATTTTCCATCAAGTCACTTCATCATAAGGTTAGGGTTTAGTTTTTCCTCGCAAAATTCTATGTGGTTGAACAACAATAGATGAATTTGGAGGAGGCAGAGAATGAAACAACGTGAATAAATGGGTTCACTAGAAGAAGCGAATAGGATGAACGACTTCAACAGATGGCTTCAATTGACATCACTAATCGATTTTCTCATTTTTAGGTGTTTGATTAAACATATATTTTTTTCTTTATTCTAATTTTTTTATTGATAAATTATGTTTGATTTTCTCATTTTCAGGTGTTTGATATGCTTCATCCTAGTCCTATCATGTCATGCAGTTCTGGATAGAAGTATGATAAATTCATAACTTGTAAGCCACGCAAATCATCAAGAGTGTTCTTTATGATACAATTTTTATATTAATCGGTTCGATACCATCACTATAAATTTTTTTGTCCCAATATTGCTTTATAATATACTCCGTATACGTTATTTTATTATTTGCAATATTATTTAAGAACCAAATAGTACTAAAGAACCCTCTTGAACCACACCGAAAGTTAGTATAGAACAGGACATGTTTTGTGTATATTTGGGACGAGACATGTACTTTAAGATAATCATCTCTTATTATCTCATGCTCACCCTACCCAACAATAATAGTTTTGATCAGTGTCGTTCCTATCTAAACTCGGGCCTGAGTCAAGCTTCATAAAATGGGCCCTATGCATAGTATTTGTTAATCCTATAAATTCATTAAAAATTAATGATTAAATATCATAAAAATGCAATTCTTAAATAAAAGTCTTACATTATAACAAAATGACATTGAATTTACTAAAACAACTTATTAAGTACAACTTGTTCAACAGTTTTAGATGCAAAAGTACTAATCAAGTCTGTATAATTAATGTCATCATTCCTTCTCGATTGATAGCATATCTAATTCATTCAACCTTTCTTGAGACATAGTTGATCGTAAAAATGTGTTTATCAGTTTTGAAAAACTCTTTCTGCACTTGCTACTATCACAAGTATCATCAACAAGATCTTGTATGCAATGTATGCATTAGGAAACATCCATCTAAAATTTTACAAATTAACTCATCAGGCATTCACACCCGACAAATCAATCATACATCACATTAACATTTAGCAATCCAATATAAAATTAGAAAATTTCTGAAAATACCAAAAAATAACTAAATAACTAAATTACTAATCTTTCAAAAAAATGCTGAATTACTAAAATGAGTAAAGAATAAAGAAGCGAAGAACGGAGAGGGGGAACCAGAGAAGTCGGACAGATAGTAGACATGGGTTGCTTAGTGCTCAATCCTAAATCCTTCGTTTGTGAGATGTATACTATGTTGTGAGCAGAGAAGCCGTCCAGATAGTAGTACACCTATTCAATTCCGCAGCTCTAAATCGTCCTTCACTTGCTTGTCTAGTTGTCTCCTTCGCAAGCTCACATAATCGCAGATAGGAGTCGATTAATGTGCTTTGTCTGATCGACTTTATTTGTAAACGGACAGGTTAGAAAGTATACAAAGGTATAATACTAATGTATTAAAAAATATGGGCCCCTATTTTTCCCCGATTTTATCTATGTTGTAAAAACCGGACCGGAGAGTGACCCGGCCACATGACTGGGTCGCGGGTCAACCCGGACCCGGTGGGTCAACCCGGTCAACGTCGGGAAACCGGTCAATGATTATACGTCTATATAATAATAGTAAACATATAATTATATATAAAATTATTATATATAAAATTATCATAAAAATTAGTTATTATTCATAATAATCAACTAACAATACTACTTATTAAACATTTAATACACTCTCATAATATTTCAATGTATATTTTGATCTTATAAAAGTATATAATGATATTTTTATTTTTATTGTACATCTATATTATAATTTGGCATGATGTTCATTCTTAAATAAATATATAAATATATTACGTAGTTTTTCTTTTTAAGGTATTGAAATTGCAATTTTATTGGTATAAAAAATGCATTAAAAATAAAAAAGAAATTACTTTTTTTTGGTAAAAACACCCAAAAACTGGGTTATACCGGGTTTCTTGGGTCCGGGTCTTGACCGGGTTTTCCCAGGTCAGCCGAGTTTTTCCGGTTTTTGACCATCTCCGGGTTTTGAAAAAACCGAACCGGTTTTTTGTCCGGGTCACCGGGTTCCGGGTCAACCCGGCCGGGTCGGGTCAGTTTTTTAAACATAGGATTTTATGAGCCTTGAGGCATTGGCCTCTCTAGCCTTACATAAGGCACGGGCCTGGTTTTGATGGAGATGTTAATATTCGTAGAAGTATATTAAATCATGTTAGGCTAACTACCATAATATCTCACAAAGATTGAAGAACAAGAATTGAGAAGAAACATGATGTGAAGATTGAGGCTTTGTTTGCAACCACTTGTGCTTAAATAAAAACGTAGTAAAAATTGGTAGTGTTTGATAAAATAAGTGCTTTTGTGTAATAGAAAAAGTAAAAAAGTAGATTTTACACGAAAACCGATGATCGGTGTATTTTTTTAGTGAGTAAAACGTAGTTGGCTAACCCAAAGAATAACCAGACCACGAGTATCGTCTCTCAAGGAGTGGCAAAAAGGAAGTTATAAATACAGTCCGTGATCACAGGCTAGCACAAGTCATGGTAATCTTTCCAAATAATTTTTGTTTTGAGTGATAAGATAAAATAAAAATAACTAACTAACAGTGAGTGTAAAAATAAATAGAAAAAAAAATTGATTCAAGATTTTAAAACAGGATTCAAATTGGATGCTTCGGGTTCTGGGTGTTCCTTCGGGATTAGAATTAAGTAAATTAATTTTCAATTATTCCTGGACAGAAAATGAAATTACTTCTCATAGACAAGAATAAAATCATATTATCACAATCCTAACGTATTTCTAAGATCAGATTGCTTGTATAAGATCCGAGCTAATTTAACTTAATTTCTCATAGACAAGAGTTGAATTAAATCCAGAAATCCATATATGAGGTGATCGAATTCATATACGCAATAAAGATTAATCTTATACAATTTTCCAGAAAATTAATTGAATTTCAAATAAACTAAATCCACACCTCAAGAACCCATGAACCTAACCCCAATTCAAACCCTATATGAAATTAGCTACTCATACTTAAAACTAACATCACACTAATATTGATAAACATTATAAGGAGCTAGCAAAAAAACTGGAGTATGACTATTTAATGGAAAGAAACTCAAATTATAAGTTGGAGATAAACAAATTCGAAATTCAATCCAAAAGTACGAACTAGTAATGTCAACAATACTAACGCTTACAATTCTTGCTCAAAAGCTAAATTGAATTGAAATAAATTGAAGAAAGTGAAGCTTATGCCTTTCGTGAATCCATTCTTGCTGCTGCCGGCTCTTCTAAGAGTAAAGGAAAGGAAAATCGTTGCTTAGTCTTTGTAGTTGCTGCTGCGGTTTCGGAAGA